GCCCGGAAGGGGCTCCGGGATGCGACTCAAGGCATCCGGAATTTTATTCCGCTCGGAACGGACCAGTTCAAAATCGAAAGAAAATTTAGACAAAAATGCAATGAATTTATCAAAAGGGGCACGTGGTGACTGCATTTTTAAAAGATCTTTTAAACTGCTAGCATCAGTCACCACAGTAAATTTATCTAGAAGCATTAACTCTTTTTCAAAATACTTAACACTTTCGTACAAAGCAAGACACTCAATGTGATAAGGACTCCAAGTCTTCTGAGTCTTTTTAAGTTCAGCCGAAAAATATGCTATAGGAAGGTAATACTTGTTTTTACATTGAGCTAAGAAAGAACCAATGCCCTTTAACGAACCATCGGTGTGCAACTTTGTCTTTAATCTAGGGTTGAACAGACCTAAAGTTGCATGTTTGAGCAAATGAGTATAAATTTCACGAATAACCAGTTTATCATCTACAGTGAAATCAAACGGAATTTTCTCGTTGGCCATGTCAGTAAGGCGCCGCACACGAAGAGAAAAATTTGGAACAAACCGCCGGTGATACCCTAGGAAAGAGATAGAACACTTAAGCTGTTTGGCATTTTTTGGACTTTCCACCGCGAGCAGCGGTCGAAACCGGGAGGCGTCCGGCCTCACACACACACCCGCGGTCACAACCATGCCCAGTAAGTGAATTTCTTTCCTAAAAAGTTCGGTTTTGTCCGGCCGGATCAGTAAATTGTTCGCCCTAAAACGTTGTAAAACTGATTCAAACAAGTTTAATGCTTCTGTAAAAGTACGCCCACCTGTGACAATATCATCCACGTAGCTTACCAGATTTAACTCTTGTAAAACATGCGCCATAGTGGCTTGAGCTATCTGAGGAGAAGTCTTTAAACCAAAAGGTAGACGGAGAAATTTATACCTTTTGTTGCCAACCTGAAATCCAAGGAGATCAGTGGACTGATCGGTGAGCTTAATTGTATGAAAATAACTGACTACGTCACAAACTGAAAGATAATTTTTATCGGCACAGTACTGGAGGCACTCGTCAATTGTAGTCTGTCTAAATTTATATTCGTGAAGCTTCTTATTGACACATCTCGCGTCGATTAAAAGACGCCCAATAGGCTTTTCTAAGGTAGAACCACGCTTTAAAATAATGAAAACAGGAAGACAATTGTTTGTAAAAGATTCGGCAATCACTTCCTCTTTTAGTAATTTTTTAACTTGGATATCGGCTAATTTTTGCTGCTCGAGGCTCCAGGGCCAGTTTTTACGGAAATAATTACCAGGCTCTTTTAATTCTAAGTGTGCATAAATATTTGGAACGAAACAACCAGGTTTTAACTCGTAACCAAAGCAATCAGTATATTTTTCCAACATTTTGAGAGCGATCAATTTCTCATCCTCAGTTAGATCGGCGTCCGCTAGAGATGGGAGGGCGGGGCGGGGCGGGGCCTCGTCCGCGCTCTCGTCCGCCGCACACACAGTGATGACGTCACACTGGTCGGCTGCGAGCTGCAGCCGGCCGGAGGCAAGCTCGTTATGAACCTGCGCGAGGGTTAGTGACGTCACTTCCGCGGGGAGGATCTCCCTGTCCTCATACGCAATGCGGCCGACCTGCACCCCAGCAGGGAGCTCGACCGCATGATCAGAAGCATTGAAAACCGGTACAAGTAAAATGTCAGTCAGAAAACACTCGAGAGAAAACAGAAAATCACAGTTAAAAATACATTGGGGCGTGAGAACAGCAGGCAAACACGCGGGAAACTGAGTAGAGCACTGAACCATAGTGAGCTCATGGGGCAGTAACAGTGCGGGGGCCGCACTACAGACCGGAAGGTCGCTAAAATGCACAGAAAGTGGGTCAATTCTCGCTAAACGTTTGAACTCAGATTGGAAAACAGAATTACAGGCGACGGGAGTTGGGGGAGGCAGCCGCCGCAACTGGACTGTGTGGCCACCTAAAGAAAGGGTTGCCATGCCGGAACTGTAGTCAATATTAGCTTTATACTTTTGAAGAAAATCATCACCTAAAATAAAATCAATAGAGAGAGGACAAACTAATACAGGATGAGTCACAGTAAAATTATTTCCAAAGTCTAGAGACGGATTGTAGACACCGCGGACCTTCATATCACTTTTGTTAGCAACACGGATTGACACATTGGCAGGCCGCAAACTCTGAACATTTGTACAAAACTTTTCACTCAAAATGGTCCTAGAAGAACAAGTGTCAATATAACCACGCAGTTGCAAACCATCAACACGCACAGCGACAGGAAATAGTTTAAACTCAACTTCAGGAACTGCCATAGAATTGTGATGTACAAGAAAGGGAGGGAGAGGACAAACTAATACAGGATGAGTCACAGTAAAATTATTTCCAAAGTCTAGAGACGGATTGTAGACACCGCGGACCTTCATATCACTTTTGT